TCATTTATAAAAAAAAATACAAATAAAATACAAATAGTTACTCAAACGGTCAAGTCTCCTACACATAATTAGACCTAAATTTGAATAATTAGAGTTTTTCCACCACCTTAAATAGAACTTTTACCTTTGCTTGAAAAAAAAAAAAATTGAACTTTTAACTTAAACACAGTGAACTTTTACCTTAAAGGGAGGTCCCATTGTGCTAAACCCAACAAGCCGAAGTACTTGAGTCAACCCATGGTTGCGTTACTGGACAACCTAATGATTCAATGATTGTGGGCTTGTCGAAAATCTTGAATTCAAAACTCATCTCATCTGTGCCCAAATGTAAAGAATCGAGCACCAGTCCGCCCATAAACGAAATGATATTAGTGAAATTTATTTCAATAGATTTATATACTTACATAAAAATTTTAAAAAATGATATTTAATAAATTTTAAAATTTAAATTATAACATTTATAATTTTTTTAATCCTTAAATTGTAAAGTACTTTGTATAAAAATTTGTACAAAAAGAATAAAGGAAATGATACTTTGAAACCTGATAGCACCATTCCATTTTGTGGAATTATGGATTTAGGTTCATTTTATTTACCATTCTAAGGATTGCGATTTGTGAGATATGTTACTTCCTTAACAACCTACTACAGACATCGGGAGTCCCTTTTTTCTATATTCATTTTGTTTAACAATAAGAGAGTGGTAATTATTATGTATATATCTACCCAAATTCTCATCCTCCAACAACTTTACTTCTGCCAAAATTGCCAAGTAGTTCTTTCCATTTATCTCATCAAGCCAATAGAGATCCTTGGCTTCAGTCTCTGAGAAAAAAAATGCAAGAACTTGGAAGATGTAAAATACCTTGTAAAAGACTAACTAGACATCTCTTTTTTTTTTTTTTTGTTAAACATAAATAAGGTGCTGTGAATTTGGCAGATGTATCTTCTATATATTATGGGCAGATGCTACAGGGCCTGAATGTAGTTTTGTACCACTAAAAACGATTTCAGAATTAATATTTAATTATTTATACAGCTTGAGCTTGTTTCAAGCTCTAGAATTCAGATTTGAGATTCTTCTTTTACAGAAAGTTATGCTAGCCTACTAGCTATCACCTGCTGTTAATGCTAGAGAAAGAGACAATTTTCATTTTGGAATTTTCAGTTACAAGCAAGCTGGGAACGGAAAGATTGTTATCTAAAAAATATATATAGTAATATGAAAATTTGAGTTCCAACCAACTAATTTGTCAAACTAACATACGTGGTTGGAAAGCGATTTGGAATCCATCTTAATACTAAACAGACAATCATGAAACATACTCTCAGAAGTCTTTTGGTAACTTCAATCACCAAAGGGGCAGCCGATGGAGACATCAATTAATGAAAGCACCTTTTTCATGCTTGTCATTAAAAGCACCTTTTTCATTCTTGGTAACTTATCTTTGATGAGACGCTAGCTAGCTATATATATCATTCAAAGCTTTAAAACTAAGAAAGCAATACTTAAATGTTCATTTCTTTTATGTAATCCCTCCTTCCCTTTTCATGTTTTATATATGTTAATTTATGCATGAGTATGGTTACTGTTACTTAATCCATTGAGGAATCTTATTTACTATTACCAGTATTACTCATTATAAGTTGCAGGCTCTATCTGATGAAAGTCAATAGCTGATTTAAATGCCCTTCTCAAGATTGTGATATCTACAATGTTAACAACAATTTCTAGCTTGTAATTTTTACCTTTCAATTTCCACCTCGCCTAACATTTTTGCTAGCAAATCACAAATCATCTACAGGAAAGGTTATGTACCTAGCTTGCTAGCTAATTATATAGTTATGTTTCTTATAAGATAAGTGATTAGCTTATTCAATATAAAATTAAAAAATTTTATACATTTTTTTAACAATTGATTTTAATAGATCAAATGAAAGAGACAAATAAAAATAAAAAATAATTTAATCTTATTCTTTTGATCTGTTAAAATCAATTATTAGAAAAATATGTAAATTTCATTTTAGTTTTATACTGCACAAATTGATCATTTCTTGTCTTGCAATGTATATATATATATATATATATATAATATATTTATTATTTATTTTTAATTCTTTAAATTTATTGAAATCAATTGTTACAAAAATATATAAATTTTTTTTAATTTTATACTGTATAAATTGATCTCTTATCTTAATTTTATTTCAAAAAATTGACATCACTGGTTTAATTTATGTGGACCCTTCTAGTTGTAGGAAAAGCTCCAAGAATTTACTAATTACTCCTAACAGTTGTTCAAAGAATGTGTTAATGTGATTGAAATGCTTGAACTTCACGGTTTTAGTGCATTTGTGAGTGGATGTATCTCTATATATCATGGCTTTTACAATTAGGTTTGGTGAACACTTCACATCTTGTATATATATTTCTATTATTGATATATATATATTTTATATGATCAGTTTGACCAACAATTTCTCTCGTCGGTGCAGTTATACTTACATATGCAACTGGGTACATATTTGAAACTTATGATTAGGTCAAGCATTGCAATGACATTTGTCGGACAGGGTTACTTTGAGCAGTGAGCATATATATATAGTACCTCAAAATCTCTTTTTCCTTTCTAAATCTTTTCCCCCCTCCTATATGGTAAAAAAACCACAAAAATGAACTTTTTCCTTTCTTTGTTTGCAGTGATCATTTCCCCTTTTTTGAATTCAAAAGGCTAATCTCTTTGGATCTCGGCATACATGGATTCTGAAATATTTTGTCAATTAATACCTTTTACTTTTGCAATATCAAGTTGTAAATGCTTCTTCCGTCCTATTATATTTATTTATTTTTATTATTTTTATTAAACGAATCCTAGTTTAACTATTATTTTTAATAAATTCATTAAACTAAAAAATCTCTTAAATTAAGATTTATAAAATTTAAGTTTCAAATTTTTTAAAACATATTTTATAAAATTTTAATTCAATATAATATTTTTAAAAATAATAACTAAAATTGAGTTGGTTTGAAAAAAAAAAAATCAAATATATAAACACAAAATGGGACAAAAGGGAGTATGACATTTGTATGATATTGAATATAGATGCTTACTCCAAGTCACTTTCAGCTGATGCATATGCAATTATGCATATGAAAGAAAGACAATTGATAGAAGCTAGCAAAAGTTCAAAATTAATTAGAGAAGCTTGTATGCTAATTTCTACATTCGAAGAATGTAGCTTGTAGAACAACCTTTTTGGTCAGGCAGGCAAGCTTGTGATTCAGATTTGAGACAGTAACATTAATTATTAATCAGAAAAACAAAAGGTTGTTTAACCGGGATGGGATATATTTGTTTAGGACCTATTTGAATCCATGTAATTTCCACTAAAAGGTTTTATTAGTATGAATATATAATATATAAAAATATATATAGAATAATATTCCACTTACACTTATTTAAATTTAAGAGTTTAAAAAATTATGTAATTTGTAAGTTGATCTTTCCTCATATGTATATATATTATATGTTCACTAGATGTTTGGTAAAGATCATGATCAGATTCTTGAGACGGCCGGCCAGCATTAATTATTAATTAATGGAGTTAGCCTTCGTTCTAATGGTTGCAATTGCATTAGGATACACCCCTGGAATGTTATGAATTTTGTTTATAATTATCGGTCGTTGCAATCTTTCACATCCAAATTTGAGCTGCACAAACTTCCTGGTCGATTCTTTCGGTGGGTCATCTCTAACAACAGTATTTGATGAAGTAAAGGGATGTCGGTGGAAAAAATGTAAAAGATATACCATACTACAGATAAGGTCATTCAACAAAGCATTTCTGTAGTCTCATGGCCATGCAAGAAAAACAATTATGTGGGCAGCTTCAAAAATATATTATATATTTACATATTTGAAATGAACCCATAATGAATTTGTCATGGTTTAGAATTTTTTTTTTATTTCTTTTTGTGGTTTGGGGACCATCGACAGAGTTTTCTGTTTCTCATTGCATTAAAATTGAAAGATTGCTTTCAAATTATAGAATGGTGAACTTATTTAATGGGTGCGATTGTCGGCCCTGATCAATGTAAATTTCCGATCAAGCTTGGCGGAATAAAAGATAGATTGACTGTATATTTTCAGTATCTTAGGCGTAAATCAAGTCAGATCCTTGATTTGCAACGTCCCACTAGTTGTTATGTCAAATTAGGTACCAACAACATCTGATGTAAAACCGTTAATTTGGTTCATTAGTCTTGAAAAAACAAAAGAAAAGCAATAGAATTCTGTTTCTTTTCTCCCTTCAAGCCTCTTCAGTTTCAACCTCAAGGAAGGTCGAAGGGCAAAAAAGCGTATTGCTGAAGGAAGGAGGAGATTTAGTTTTATTCATCCATCGGTACTACATAATATATATCTCTCTTCGAATCTATTTTTATAAGATCAATGCTGTAATTACTGCAACATTTAGCTTTAGATGGAGTTAACAGCAATCCTTGTATAGCAGCATGAACAAATATTCCGAAAGCTTTGGAACCATAGATGATAGAAAAATTTTGGACCATCTATTATATATTCCAAAAGGTGTCCTGCATAACCATGGCGGCTGGGGCTCTTAATTCTCTCTCTCTCTCTCTCTCTCTCTAATAATAGAGAGGCCAGCGAGCCAATTCCTGCTTTTGGAGGGAATCACAGTCGCAGTGCATGGGGGCCTATCTGGAGAGCCTGCAGCTGGATCAAATTCATATACGCTAGCTAGGAAATCAGCATCTCAGATACGAATGTATAGGCCAAGATAATCTAATTATATAAATTATTTTCTGCCAAAGCATCCAAATATCGCAATCTAAACATACCCCACCTATCTAATTATATACACATTCTATATCTCATGCTATTTTAAAAATAATGATAAAACGAAACATAATTTGTTCTGATGTTAAATTTAGATCAGAAAAGACTACTGGATGTATTTGGTATATATGGATTGTGGGTTCGGATCAAATTTGTCTGCTCTTAGAGAGGGTTTAGCTTAAGCAAGAAAAAGACAGGCATGAAAATAGCGCCATAACTGCATATAATAATGATAATTAGTTAGACACCATGTAAAGCTTAGGACCAGAAATTAAAATTTGTTCGCTCTTGTTAAGAACATTATTGCAACTGTTCTCAAAACAAATACAGGAGGAAAAAGGGGAAAAAAAAAAACAAAGAATAATGCACAATAGAAGAAGAATACAGATAAAAAATTCTCCCGATCGAGAGAGAAGAGCTAAATCATTTACCCGGTTATTAAAAAAATACCCAAAGGAAAATAAAAAAAAAAGGGTAAAGACTCATCTCCAAACCATTTCAGTTCAAGTCGTCCTGTACTATCAACATCTGTGTGTATTGGTTTAAAGAGGTGAAAAAAATGAATTTACAGTTCTGTTCATATCTGCTGGAAGACATCAAAATTTTCTGCTGTTAGATCTTCTGACAGCGACGTTAACGGATAGGTACTGAAATCTACCGAATTGTGGTTGTGAAGATGCCCTTCTTGCCATGAACTTGGTTTCAATTCCTCGGACTTGATACCGTTGACCTGAAACTGAAACATGGAGTCCAACTTGTATTCAGTATCCCACGAGAAAACTCCATTTTCCACCATATTGTTCATCTGGAACCCTGTGTAACTGCTGATATTTGAGCTGTTGCTAGAACTTTCCTTTGCCTCATTCAGGAGGAAAGAAGTACTTATTCTCGAAGCTGAATTATCAGAAAAGTAGTCTGTTCCGGACTTGTTTCCGTGATCAAAATTAGTTAAACTTGGCATTGAAGTAAAGGTGAAACTGGAATTTGTCTCAAAATGCTTCTGATCAAAAGGCCTAACACTTGGGTGAAATTGTGGCATAAGATTGGAATTATAACCACTTGGACCAGTCCCCGCCTGCAAATCAATATAAGACAAAGGATCATAGACTTGCTTGTTAATAAACTGCTCTCTTGAAGCTTCTGTCAATCCATTGCCATAGTAACTTGAATCACTGACAAGAAATGTTGGCTCATGAGCTGCGAAGGATGATACAGTACTAGAGAGTCCTTTAGACTGTGGTATCTGTAATGCTACCGTATCTGTACACTTGTTTTCTTCTTTCACTTCAACATTGCTTAGCGGCTTGTGGGTGGTCGGGTCAATCCCTTGCTTCATTAGTTTCTTCTTCAAACAGGAGTTCCAGAAATTCTTGATCTCATTATCTGTTCTTCCTGGTAACTGTGCTGCAATTTGAGCCCACCTGCAATCCGGACCATACACAAAATCATTCGAATAAAAAGCAATCAGAGCCCATTTCCACCCGTTAGTTTGTTTATCAGATAAAAAACTTAATTCCTGTTCTGGCCAATAAATATTAGTAGTAGTAGTAGTTACCTGTTGCCTAGAACTTCATGAAGACTGATTATGAGATCTTCCTCTTGTTGTGAAAACATTCCTCTTTTAAGGTCAGGTCTCAAGTAGTTTATCCATCTCAATCTACAACTCTTTCCACACCTCTGCAAACCTGCATAACAAAAACCAAAAACCTTTGAATTTTTGTTTTCTTTTTTTAAATCCCCTGGAATATTGAAAATTCAAGAAATGAAGTAGAGATATAAAATGTGCATGCGTGAGTGATAATGAAACTAAAACGCACCAGCGAGCTTAGGCACTGAACTCCAGCAACCAACCCCGAATCTTGTTATGTAATTAAACAATTTCTCATCTTCTTCAGGGGACCATAAACCTTTCCTTAACTTTTGCTTGAGACAACAAGAATGGCGTCTCATTTCAGACAAACACACAGTGGAAGCCAGAGGACTTACGACACGGTAGCCCACAGGAAAAAGGTTAAAGTAAGCCGCTAACTAGCGTGATCCTCAGCAGAATGATTCGGGCATGATAAGGTGTGAGGGAGAAAGAGTCTCTTCAATTCCCTATGTAATTGTATGATTGGAAAAAATGAAGAATAAATTTTGATCATTTAAAGGGATGAGGACTAAATAATACTTAGAATTCAAGTTATGGAGAGAGAAAGAAAGAAAGAGAGCTTGAGGAAGGTGAAGCAATCAAGTGGATTTTACGCAAATCTGATGCTGCTTTTGCATTGGACTGGATTGGTTTTTAAGAAACTACATATATTTGGCGTAGAAATTGAAAAAAAAAAAAGGGATTATAAAGTGAATTAAATGACAACAAATCTATAAACGTGCACTAGCTATGGACGAGAAAGAATACATATACAGTTAAACGTTTTTGATGTTCCACATCATATATATATATATATAATACTAATACTAATACAATGTATGTATTGCAAACTTAATTAATTATAAGTATATAGTATGACTGCATATGTTTTAAATATACTCATGTTAGATATTTACCAACATCTCATTCTCACCCTTAGCAATTTATAATTTATTTAATTAATCTAGAGAAGTACATTAATATATGTACCAACCAACCATATAATTACTGCAATGCGTTTAAGTGTCATATTTATGGATCGTATGTTACTAGAAACGTTTTCTAATTGGTTACAAGTTTGATATATAAGTGTCATATTTATATATGTTTAATATTTCAAACTTTATATATATTGGAAATGAAGTTATAACTCAAGATAAATAAATTATAGAGTTAATGAATTAAGTACCATGCCAATTTTAGCTTTCCGTTGTGTTACTATAAAAGCACTACATGAAAAAATAATCATATATAATTAGTTAAAGCAAATTATTAAATTTGTTAATTAATTATATATTTTCTTTTTAATTTATTATCATACAAGTCTGTCTGTCTAGATCCTTTGAAAAAATCTCTTTAAAATAATTTGTTGTTTCTGTACCCCAGCCCAGTGCAATGCATTTGGGATCATGTTGAATGTTGTACACACTCTATATTTTTCAATGAATATTGTGAGAAAAAAATTAAACAGGAAAAGTCAGCCGACATCAATGACCAATGCATAAAAAACCATGAGGTCCATGCAAATATACAAATATGGGCCCTCCAAATAAGGGTTACCCTAAGATTATTTAAGGGAAATTAATTAACTCTAAAAATAAAAATATATCTACTAGTAACTTTTACTAGATATAAATTAAATTAACTATTTGAAAGGAAATTTTAGTTGTTTTTACCTTTTTGGACAGCCTATATTTCGTACGCACCACGATTCACGACTAAGGAAGAAAGCCTTTTGGCTCAATTGACTAAAATGTTTAAAATTAATTAATTTAACAATTAAAAGTTTAATTAATCTTTTAAACTCACATGTGTGCTAACTGAAAAGAAAAGCTAATGTTTTAATTAGTTTATTTACTGCAAATTGGTACCATTGGCATATAATAATAATAATAATAATAATAATAATAACAACAACAATAATAATTATTATTATTATCATTATTATTTTTTTATTATATTCTTGAAAATTATTCACCACCTCATAACTGTTCTTGTTAAGATATAGAGCCCAGCACCATTCACTTCATAGTTATTAAGCCCTACAACCATAATATTTTCTCATGGAAACACTAGCAATCTGATCAAATACAATAAGGCTCAATTTATATATTTTAATAAATTAAAGATATAATGAAAAGAAAAAAAAATTGTACATCGATCTGACCTGAATACTAAAATTTTCCTTGTACTAAAAAAAAAAAAAAACTAAAATTTTCCTAGTAAGGATATATAATATTGGGAATTCCAGAACCGATAAGGAAAGGCAAGGTATTGCCTAATTTTTGTTATATTTATTTGCTTTATAAACCTAAAATTATCTTTTTAATTTATTTAATTTAATATTATGATAATTATTTCAATTTTATTACTATAAAATAATAGAATTATTTTATTATATACTAATTTGAGTGAGAATCACCTGTGTATAGCAGGCACCAAGAAAACTAGCATAGTAATAAGTCCTTGATGTTAGAAGAAAGTTGAAACGAGAAAAACGCCTTAAAATTATTAGGTTAAAACTCGTCCGTCCAAATTAAAGTTGTCTATATATAGTGTCATAATGATTTTATGTTCGGAGAACTCAATCACTAAATTTGATAAAAATTTTCAGAATTGTTATCAATATCTTTATAAGGTATGATTAGTCATCCAAAATATCATCTTTTAGTAAAAATTTTAAAATTAATTAAAAAAATTTAGGTCTACGAAATTAAAATTAGGTTCGGAAGTACGGTTACAAGTCAAAAAGGTATTAGTCCGTTTGAAGAATGGTACCATTTAAGCATACGTAATCCTATAATTTTGATAATGTAATCTTTTTTTTATTTAAGTTTAATTTCCTAAAATTTATTTTAAAACATTTTTCTCTGTTACAAAATTAACATTATTATTATTATTTCGTATTCTATAAATTCTCCAACGCTTTGATGGAATTATAAAAAATCATTATTCAAAAAATATTTCAAGAAAATTGACCATTCACAAAATTTTTGAAACTTTGTTATAAGATTTTAATTATTTGTTTTAAAAAAGAATTTTAGGAACATCCCCACTCTTTGGTGAGTTCCTAAAATTTATTAAACAAATTTTAAGATTATCTCGACTCTTTGGTAAAATCTTAAAAAATTTTAAACAAGTTTTAAGATTATCTCAATTTTGGCAAGATCCTAAATAAAATCATTTTTTTTATAGTGAAAGGAATTAATTAATTAATCTTTATTATGATTATTTGTAAAAATTTTATTATTTATTCTTTAATTATATTTTTTTTATAAAAAGAAATTTAGATTATCCCCACTCACCAGTGAAATCTAAATATTAATCTCTTATTTAAAGAAAATCGAACTCTTTCAATTTTTATATATATATATATATATTTTAAAAAATTCAAGATATCAATTATTATTAATTTTATTTTTTTAATATTGTTTTACATTATTTAAATTAATCTTTATTTTAGTGAAAATAATTTTGGATTATCACAACTCTGTGATAAAATTTGAAAAAATTATTTTTACTTGCAATAATTAAAGAAAACTAAACTCTTTTAGCTTTCTCTAAAAATTACATTTAAAATATTTATTTAAACAATTTATTTTTTTATTTATCAATTTTTATTTATTTTTTAATAAAAATTAATTTTTTAAATTATCCCAACACTTTAGTGAAATTTAAATAATATTTTTGCTTGTAATAAAATTTATTTCCTTTAAGTAGTTATGATTATTAAATTTTTTTATTTATATTTTTTAGGTCTTTATTTTATTTTAGTTTCATTTTTTATTCTATTTATTTATTTATTTTTAAAAAATTATTACCAATAATAATATAAAATAAGAATAATAATAATAATAATAATAATAATAATAATAATAACATCATAAAAAAATAACATAAAAAATTAAAATTAAAATTAAAACAAAAAATAAAAAGAAAAAATATGCGAAACGGGTTGGGTTGGCGCGCAGATCCTGCGCGGGTTGGGTTCGATCCATACGCCTAAAATGATGTCGTTTTAGGGTGCTTATAAAAGGCCTATTTTAGCTTTTTTCTTTCTCCTCTCTCTGTTTACCCCAGAGCCTCTCTCTTTAAAATCCTAACACTCATCACCGTCGTCGTAAAACCCAATTTTTGGTCGATCGCCGCTGTGCATCGGTGGTCAAAAACTTCAACCGTCGTCAAAAAATTCAAAAAATTTCAGATTTCAATGATGAACCCAGATTTCAGTGGCCAAAAAATTCAAACGGTCCTCGAAAAATTTCAAACGGTTGTTGAAAAATTTAAATTTTTCCATATTCTGGCAACGCAAAAAAAATCCAAAAAAATTTTAAAAAATTCCCCAGTTATCCTTTTCACTTTTTAAACACCTTTTCAAGCTTAGATTTTTCAAAAAAAAATCTACAACTTCTTAGATTGAGAATTTCATTCTCGAAATTTTTTTTTATGTGTTTGCTGTTGATTTTTTTTTTATTGTGGGTGCTCCATCTTATTGTTCTTATTATTCTCCCTTTCTGCAGAACTTAGCTCTATTTATAGAGCTTTTGGGATTTCAAATCCCAGATCTCCTTAGATATTTTTTATGAAAAATTTGAAGGTCTATCCAGTGACTTTTGTTCATCGAATTTTATGCTGCCAAGTTAGGCAGTGTCAGGGAGAAATTTGGACCACTCGGCAGCTTGATTTCGGTTGCCAGAGTTGAAATCAAAGATTTTTTTTTACTTTTTTTTTCCTTTTGTTTTAAAGAATAATAATAATAATAATAATAATAATAATAATATAAACAAAATTATATTTAAATAATAATAAAAAAGAAAAACAAAATTGGTGCCTGCAACTGCCCCTCTTTGCTTGTTTCTGAGAATAAAAAATAAAGCAAAGATAAAAAGACATCAATTTTATTCAGGTAAACACATACGAAAAATGAAATATTGAATATAAAATTTTTGTTTTTGAGAGAAAATTTGAAAAGCTCCTTTAAACAGAGGCTATAAAACTTTAAATTCAAAAAGCTCATCTCACTAGAGGCAACGAACTTTTAAATTCAAAAGCCCCTTTAACCAAAGGCAACGAACTTTAAATTCAAAAGGCTCATCTCACCAGAGGCAACAAACTTTAAATTTAAAAAGCTCATCTCACCAGAGGCAACAAACTTTAAATTCAAAAGGCTCCCCTCACCAGAGGTAACAAACTTTAAATGTTAAAAAACTTCTCTCACCAGAGGTAACAAACTTTAAATCTAAAAATCTCATTTAACCAAAGGCAACAAACTTTAAATTCAAAAAGCTCCTTTAACCAAAAGCAACATACTTTAAATTTTAAAAGCTCCTTTAACGAAAGGCAACAAACTTTAAATTAAAAAGGCTCATCTGACCAGAGGCAACAAACTTTAAATGGCTCCTTTAACCAAAGGCAACAAACTTTAAATTAAAAATCTGAGAGGACTTATAGATTATGCCATTTGGTCTTACAAATCATGCCTAATTTTGATAGAATCCTCTGATCAGAGGCTCTAAAAATTAAAAACCTCATCTGATAAGAGGCAACGGACTTTAAATTCAAAAATCTGAGAGGCAATGATATTTGAAAGATTTCTCTAAACAGAGGGTTCACATCTTTCTTGCTTTTGACTTTTCTTTTGTTGGTTTTGGATTATCCTAGACCCCTACATCTGTTGTGTCATATGTGTGCGTGAATAACATTTTCATGTTTTTGCAATGCCATGCAATGAATGATGATCATGATG